CACAAGGGACCATTTTTGTGGAATTTCAGACAATTTCATTGAAAAATGTGGATAAAATCATCAAAATACCAAATATCGGGGGTTCCGTTATATGGGGGCTATACGATATCGTGGACCTATATAGATAATTCTCTGCCGAGGTATAAAGTACCCACAAGGAACTCCTTGTGTGGATTTTCAGACAATTCCGTTAAAAAATGTGGCTAAAATCATCAAAATACCGAATATCGGGGGTACCGTTATATGGGGGCTATACGATATCGTGAACCGATATACCCCATCTTCGAACTTGACCTGCCTGCAGACAAAAGAGAGATCTGTGCAAAATTTTAGCTTCCTGATGACGCTGATCAAGAATATATATACTTTGTTGGGTCTAAAATGATTATTTCGATGAGTTACAAACGGAATGATGAACTTAATATACCCTCCATACCTTTTTTAGTGGAGGGTATAAAAATCTATAGTCATTGAAAAATAATTGAACAAGTCAATTTACTCTAGCATCATTAATTTGGTGTTCGAACACATTTAAAACAAAAGGATTCAATCTCCACAAACCGTTACATTTTACACGTAGGCGTTAATTAGAAAATTCCATCACAACACGCACTTGGAAAAACAAAAAAGAACATGGCACAAAAATCCCCAGAATGTTGGAAGTGAAATGACACAACTTTCTTTCATTTCTTTCATTGGTTTCGATAACAATGACGCATGAGAAACATGTCGGTTTGAAAAGAATCTGCCACACACACATACCGATGTCTGTGAATGTATGCGTATTTGTGTGTAACACCTGAAATTTGATTATGTTTTTAATTCCTCGAGGAAATCAATGTTAATCTAGACTGTCTATGTATATGTGTTGCGGGATTAGGATGTGTGTGTGTGGCGTATCTTCACATGTTCATTCATAATGAAGAAAAGTACGTAAGAAGGTAAATTGCGCATTGGTTGTTGAAAGTTATAACGTCATTAAATACATTTTTACAAATCAAAGTGGGAAGTTGAGGGTATCAATGTAATAAATGAAGAAATATTAAGATTTCGGGATTAAGTGACTAGGGAAACGATTGGAATATATTTCATACCAAAGAAGGTTATTAGCTCAAAAAATAAGGGATCTTCTTATCAAAGGTAGATAGAATATAAATTATTTATATTTGACATTTTTGACAAATTAAAGCTATATCAGACCAATCCACGTCTATTCTAGGTATTGAATGTTTCCTTATGAAGGGTGGAGACTGCCCGAGATCAGTTAAAGGTTAAGGTTTTGCTTAGAGATTTTCTAGGAGCGTAGGCCGACATCAAGAAAGTGGACGAAAAAAAAATAACTACATCATCAGAAATGGTTCGAAAAGTAAAGAAGCGACTTGATCGAAGCCCGCGTTGCAGTTGCTGAAAAATGGCTAGTGAGCTGAAAATATTGTCATATTCCATTCGGCAAATATTGAAAAATGAGCTCGGGGTAAAGCCTAAAGCTAAAGAGTTGCTTCGCTTGGCCGAAAGTGGTGAACTGCCGAATTTGTTTTTCCCCGATGAGAAAACATTCGTTGTCCAGCAGTTTGTAAACAAGCAAAATGACCGTGTTTACTTGCCAAAGAGGTCAGCTGAAAATGTGCACCTTCGGATGGCCACCGGAACTCAAGCGCCGGTCATGGTGATGGTGTGGGCCGCCATAGCAGCCGATGGTCGCTCCGTGACATCAGAATAAATGCCGAATATTATCGCGAAAATATTCTGGAGGGTGTATTAAAGCCTTGGGCGCGCAAACATTTTGGCCGCAGGCCTCGGACATTCCAATAGGACTTAGCACCATCGCACTCAGCACTCTCCACCCAAGAATGGTTACAAAATAAGTTTCCTCTCTTCATTTCCAGCGCACAATAGCCACAAAAATCTGTGGATACCAATCCATTGGCCTATTGTGTCTGGAGTATTTTCAAAAGCAAGTTTGGCACTAAAAACAACAATCGACCGACAAATCACCTCAAGCAAGCGCTTCGCCGGGAATGGGCTAAAATACCACAGAGCAATATTCGGGCAGCGTGTGACGGTTTCACTGGCCGTTTGAAGGCCATAATTCGTGCCAAAGGTAACCAATTCGAGGAAATCTAAACTTATTCTAAAATTTGATGCTATTTCCGACATTTTTTGCTTTTATTCAATACAACTAAGAAAAACAGGTAGAAAAAATGTAAGTTCGGCCGGGTTGAACTTTGAATACCCTCCACCATTTTGTACCAAATTTGGCAATTTTGAAAAAAAAAAATCCGTTAAAATTTCTGTTAAGGTCTATACGATGACGTGGACCTGCAATATTCAAATGCGAAACTTGAAAAAAATTTGATTATAATGTAGCTAAAATCATAAAAACCGAATATAGGGTGGTACCAGGGGAGGTACCAGGGGGTTTTAAAACGTGGACCTGAAAAGACAATTTTCTGTCATAGTCTGTAGTATACATTACGAACTTCAAATGCGAAACTTAAAACAATTCCGGTAAATAATGTCGCTAAAATCATCTAAATACCGAATATCGGGGGGTACTGTTATATGGGGGCTATACGAAGACGTGGACCTACATGGTCTATTTTCTGTCTTAAGCCGTAGTAACTACTACGAACTTTAAGTACCAATTTTGAAACAATTCCGGTAAATAATGTCGCTAAAATCTTCAAAATTCCTCATATCGGGAGGTACCGTTACATGGGGGCTATACGAAGACGTGGACCTACATGGCCCATTTTCAATACCAAAAATCCTGCAGACAAAATACACATTTGACATACTTCATTTCGCTCGGAAGCTAAAGTGATTTCCACAGACGGACGGACATTGCTAAATCGACATAGAATTTTTTGCTGATCAAGAATAAGTGGGATCTAAAATGTATATTTCGGAATGACAAACTTAATATACTCTCCATATTATAGTGGAAGGTATAAGAATGTAAAAATTATGGCATTTGACTTTGTTACAGTTTTTTATCTCACCCTCTATACCAAAAAGTGGACAGAAATCACTAATTTTTTAAAATCGATGGATTCTTGAAAAATCCAAAGCTCACTATTTATTTTATTTTTTTTGAAGGCTCCTTATTAAACTTTTTGAAATATATATCAAAATTTCGATTTATTTTATCAGGAATGGATTCAAGAGAAAGAACTTATACATTACTTACAATTCCACCATGAATTCCTGATTTCAAGGACTTACCTTTGGAAAATGGTTCCCATTTCCCTTTGTATTTCAGAGCCATAACAACAATTTATTTCAAGTAAATGTAAATAAATGTAAAAATTATGGCGTTTGAATTTGTTGCAGTTTTTATACCCTACAACACTATGTGTTGGGGGTATTATAAGTTTGATTGGGCCAAAAATTATGTAACACCACGAAATATTGATTTCCCACATAGGAAAGTATATATGGATCTTCCTATCTCGCCGAGCTGAGTCGATCTACCTATGTATGTCCGTCCGTCCGTCTGTCCGTCTGTCCATGTTATTTTGTAATCACTCTACAGGTCGCAATTACGGTCGCAATTACAGAGCCAGAATAGAACCCTATTTCTTTTGGAGATGATCGCATAATATTTAAGGGTTGAAATGGACCAAAAACTGAAAAAATTCCTGATTTTGCAGTTGCTCTACAGGTCGCAATTATAGACCAATCAAAGCGGGAGTTAGCATGGGGCTAGAGCTTAGGGCTGGGCAGAAGCCTTCCAATTTTGATGGTCATCGGGTAAAATTTAGTGGGTGAAATATGCCACAACGTTTGTGTTAAATAAAAGTTAAATTTTCCATTAAACCGCGAATATTTTTAATCCTGGCGAAATCACAAATAGACGAACAGGTCAATTTTGACCGTTACTTGGATGCCGATATTAAAAATATCGGATATATATAGCGAAATATATACAATATATATATACAAAGATATAGATTTGACATATTTTTATTTTTTCATATTTTTTATCGCATGTGATTTTTTCAATTTGACTTATAATATTGAAGTGTATATTATGTAATATTTTTGCACTTTACAACACAGGTTGGGGATATTATATAAGTATTGCAAATACCGTCCGATCCTCACGAAAATTTTCACAAGATTAGGGTTGGGCTCAGAAGGGCTAGGCCTATTGTTTTCAGAGATGTCCGCAGTATATTAGGGGTTGAAATGGACCAACAACTAAAAATGTTCCTGATTTTGCAGCCGTTATAAAGGTCACAAATAGAAACCAAAAACACGAAATCTCGCATAAAGTTAGAGTTTAGGACAGCGAGTGCAATAGACCACTAATTTTGTGTGAAAAAAATACCACCATTACTTACAGGCGATATCCGAAATACACAAAAGGCGAACTTCTGGCTTTTTTATGCTGATTTCGTTGACGAATGTAGATGAGTCTAAATTTGGAGATACAGAGGGACTTCTTGCTTTTGGAGATGATTGGAAAATATTTAGGGGTTCAAATTAACCAAAAACAGAAATGTTTTTCCGATCACACAATCTCTTCACGCCTGTGAAGGGAGTTAAGGATAGGGAAGAATTCTAGTATTTTGGATGACCATTGGATTATATTTATCTGTAAAATAGACTACAACACTAACAGCCCGACGGAGTGCATAAATGTTGGGCAAATGTCCCTAGTCAAAATCCTAATTTCAAAAGCGAAATCTTCCAATTTGGATTTGGGCATAATGGGGCTGCTAACATATTGTAGTGTTGTAGGGTATAACGTAGTCGGCACCGCACTACTATAGCCTTTGTATACTTGTTTTTATCTCACCCTGTATAGCTCTCCCGTTTTTTTGTCATCTTCCAGGTTCCCACATTCCTGTTGTTCAGGATTCATATATTGCCTCTAAATGGAGATTTAGAAATTTAAATAAAAAGAACCATCCTCCATTGTTTTAGGATAAATCTTTGCAATTTTATTCAACACTTTCTCTTGTTTTTTTGTTTTGTTTTACTTTTTTTCTTATCAAATATTTACACAAATACACATATACATACATCGTTACATACATCTGCACTTAATTTAGGATGAGTTTAAAAGTTACTTGTACCAAGTTCAAAATTTTATACTTAAAAAAAAAAACAATACAAAAAGAAAGTATATCTTAACTTAAACTAAAAACTGAGTTTGAAACGTTTAACCTAAAATTGAATATCTGCTAAGAGTAAAGATCGATTTACAGGGTGTTCATTAAAAGTTTGCAACTACTTCGGTTTGTTTGGTTGTCTCTGGGCGTTTCATTTTTAAAAAATTGTGAAAATGAGTTTTTTGTTTTTAAGATTACAAGGAATCTCTTACAATTCTGATAACCGCTTTACAGTTTTATTTAATTACGATATTTTTGTTTTTTAGGTTAGGTTTGGTTAGTGCCAGGTGGGTGGGTGGTTGCGTGTTTAGGTGTTTGTTTGTTTGGTGGGTAATTTTTTGGATGAGGTGCTTGAGTTTTATGCAAGAAATTTCCATGATATTCCTTTAAGTCATTTGATAATGAAAATTTTCTTGGAGATGCAGGGTATTGGGGGTGGAGGGGTTGACAAAAGTCCTTTCTAAGGATATATCTAAAGGGATTCATCGATCAAAGTGGAGCCAAGTAAATTTAAATTGTTTCTATTTGTTGTGGTATTGGTGGTGGATGCCTGACCTGCATTGGACTCAATGCTGATGGCTTCATTTCTCTCACTGCCAAAGGATATTGTGGTAGGTGCTGTGGTGTATATTTTCGAATGGCAGGAAGCTGGGAGTGTCAATGGCTGAGTTAAATTGTTGTTGATTGTATTGCCATTGATAGAGGCCACTGCCGACGTTGCAGTGCTGGTACATCTCGGCAATGAGGTTAAATGGGATATTGCTGATGGCATTGTTGTTAGTGTTGTTGCGGGTGCTGTCGCCATTGTTGTTGTTGTGTTTGCAACCAAAGCAGTCGTTGTATTGGTAGTAAAATTTTCATGAGATGTCGTCATTGGCATTTTGTTTAGAATACATTTTTCGTTTTCCTTCGAGGCTGGACATGATGTCGTTGTCAGACATCTGCTACCTATTTCCATGGCAGCAGTTGCAGCCACATCATCCACACCCTCAATGGCATCGTCCATTTCCTCCTCAATGGTGGTGCTGGCAATTGGCGTGGCTGTGTTGGCGGCATTAATGTCTGTTGTCATTTCCATTAAAACATCAGTGGCATTTGCATTCGTTGTTGTTGCTGCTGCTGTTGGATTCAGGCTATGCGGATGATGTTGTTGATGTTGTGGCGTTACCGACATGGCCTGGGACTCTTCCATCAATGGCTGGCGTATTCGTGAGTTATCCACGGTGCTGCGACGACGGAAAATGTGCACATTTCTCAAGCCATTCAAAAGGCCACCACCACCGCCACTCCGATGAGGTACCCGTTGTGGCTGCTGATGCCCGGATGCCGGAGAATGTCCAAAGTTCGCCGTTTGCTGATGCGTGGCACTACTGTGAGATCTTTGACGTTGATTATGACGCTGGTGTCCTTCACCACTCACCGAGGACGACACGGCACTCGATGCACGTCTTTTGCCAGCCAATGACGACATCTCTTTTAGTCATACCTTCTCCTCGCCGGGCAGGGCGGGACCGCAGCGTACGAACTGAAATCAAAAGAACTAACATTTTCGGTATATAAACTCACAAAGATAACGGTAATAGAAGTCATTTTTGTTTATTTAAGTTTTAGCTTGGGATTTTTTGTAGCTTTTTTGCTGGTTATTTTTTGTGTGAAAAAGCCAATTTGGTAAAATAGTGAGGGCGATGAGGATGAAACCAAATTGTTATAATATAAATGTATGAAGTATTTTCAATAGAGGGAGCGAAGCTTTTTAGAAAATGAAGCAAAGACTTAAGTAAATTAGATTGGGTTAAATGACGATGCAGATAACAATACTTAAGCTAAGCTATTGAAAAAGATAAAATTAAAAAAAAATAATAATAACAAATAAAAAGCTGCAATTTCGGCAGGGCCGAACTTTGAATACCCTCCACAATTTGGAAAGAATTAGTACATTTTCCAAAAAGTAAAATCCGTTAGAAGTTCGGTTAAAATCTTAAAAATTCCGAATAAAGCCGTTATATTGGGGCCTATACGAAGACGTGGATCTGCATGGGCAACTTTGAATATTTGAAAAAAATCTGATGAATAATATTGCTAGAATCATGAAAATACCGAATATCGGCAGATATCGTTATATAGGGGTTATACGAGGATTTGGACCTGCATACGTAATTTTTCGTCATTGGCTGTAGTATACGAAATTTCAAACAATTTCGGTGAATACTGTACCTAAAATCGTCAAAATACCGAATTTTGGAAGGTACTGGTATATGGGGCCTATACGAAGACGTGGGCCTGCATACGCGATTTTGTAATAGGTTGAAGTACCCATTACGAACTTCAAATACGAAATTTGAAAAAACTCCGGTTAATTATGTCGCTAAAATCATGAAAATATCTAATATCGGAAGGTATCGTTGTATGGGGGCTATATGAAGACGTGGACCTGCAAACGCGATTTTTTGTCATAGACTGAAGTACCTATTATGAACTTCATATAAGAAGTTTGAAACAATTCCGGTGAATAATGTCGCTAAAATCATGAAAATACCGAATAACGGCAGGTATCGTGATTTTTTTTGTTTTAGGCTGTAGTACTCATTACGAATTCTAAATACGAAATTAGAAACAACTCCGTTGGGGAGGTACCGTTATATGGAGGATATACTATATCGTTCCAGGGAGTAAAGTGCTCAGGAGGAACTCCTTGTGTGGATTTTCAGACAATTCCATTGAAAAATGTGGCTAAAATCATCAAAATACCGAATATCGGGAGGTATCGTTATATGTGAGGTATACGATATCGTGGACCTATATCGACAATTCTCTTCCAGGGGGTAAAGTACTCACAAGAAATCCTGGTGTAGAATTTCAGACAATTCCATTAAAAAATTAGCTAAAATCATTGAAATACCAAATATCGGGGGGCGATTCCGTGGACTGATATAGCCCATCTTTGACCTTGACCTGCCTGCACAAAAAAGACTGATCTGTGCAAAATTTTAGATTCTTATCTTAATTAGTTTTGACTCTAGCGTGATTACAACAGGAGGACGGACGGACAGGGCAAATCGTCCTAGAATTTCACGCTGATCAAGAAAAAAATGAGCTACAAACGGAATGACGAACTGAATATACCCTTCGTACTATGGATACTGTAGGGCTTAAAAAACAAGTAAAAAAGGAGCTCAGTTCGGCCGGACGGGACTTTTAATATCCTACACCATTTGGAAGGAGCTTGAGAAATTTAATAGTTTTTTCTAGGACCCATTAAGATCTTCAATTCCAATTTTGAAAAATTTCAAACTATAATGTCGGTAAAATCATGAAAATACCGAATACCGAATATGGGAGCTATACGAAACGTAGACCGACATGGCCCATTTACGAATCTAACCCACCTACTGGCAAGATACACACGTGTGCAAAATCTTAGTCTTCTATGTCAATTCCTTCAAAAGATAACGGGATTACAATAGACAGACGGACAGCGCTAAATCGACTTAGAATTTTACGCTGCTTAAGAAAATATATCCTTTGTAGGGTTCCTCATGAGTGTTTCGAAGAGCTACAAACGGAATGACAAATAATGGTTGCGGGCAAAAAAAAATATTTATATCCTTCAAGGAAGGACACCTATCATATTTCTCAAATTAAAGTCTTTACGACCGAATAGTTATTTATTATTGCCTGACTACTCATTTAATAATTTTTTCTCCGAAATGATAATCAATTTTACACAGATGACAATCTTTAATTATGAATATTAATTATACAATTTAATCAATTTTTTTCTCTTTAATCGCAAATTGATTTTCACACCCTAATTATAAATTCCTGTTCTCTGCTGTTCGATTAGATTCTGGAATTTTCCATTTTCCAATTCAATTGATTGGTTTTTGGCTAAGCAGCAAACAATCAAATAAAAAATTAATTAAATTAAAGCGTTAGAGCATGATAATGAGCAGCAGCAGCAGATTAACAAGCGAATATTATGAGGTGGGGGAGGTGCAGGGACAACAACAAAAACATCCATTTCAATTCAAGCAGTGAAAACGAAAAGAAAAGACGACAACCGAAACTTACACGCACACACACATAAGTACACAAAATCTTACCGAGACCTGAGTGGCTGTGTAGGAATTGGCCCGAGGTCGATTGCTGAGGAATGCAGTACGCCAGCGTCGCTTCACTTGGGCAATAACTTCACCGTTGCAGAAGCAAAACAGTGTGGCCACGCAGAGACCCTGAAAGTACATTAAAAAAAAGAGAGGATGAAAATCAATATCTTAAATAGGATGTATGAAATGGTTTAAAATGTTTAGAGAAAATGTGAGGAAATTTAACAAAACAAGTAGGAAAGTAGCAGTAAGGTTTTCGATAGATGTCAAATATAGTATTCGGGTGAGATAAAAAAAAAAACAAACGCCATAATTATGCCCTACAACAACAGTGTTGGGGGTATTATAAGTTTGATTGGGCCAAAAATTATGTAACACCTCGAAATATTGATTTCCCACATAGGAAAGTATATATGGATCTTCCTATCTCGCCGAGCTGAGTCGATCTAACTATGTATGTCCGTCCGTTCGTCTGTCCATTTTAATTTGTAATCAAGCTACAGGTCGCAATTATGAACCGATCCTCAAGAAATTGAAAATGGAGGTGGGGTTATGGTCAGAATAGAACCCTATTGTTTTTGCAGATGATCGCACGATATTTAGGGGTTGAAATGGACCAAAAACTGAAAAAATCCTGATTTTGCGGTTGCTCTATAGGTCACAATTATGAACCAATCGAGTGGGGGAGTGGAGTGGGCAGGAACCTTCCAATTTGGGCGGCCATCGGACAATAATTAGCGGGTAAAATAGACCCTAACTTTTATGTAAGAAAATAGGAAAATTTCCACTAAACCGCGAATATTTTCAACCCCAGCCAAATCACAAATATATTAAGAGATAACTTCTTGCCATGACAGTGATGCTAATAGCCAAGAAATCGGATATATAGCAAAATAAGTAAATGGGTAGGAATTGATCTTATTTATTCTGCTTATAAATCAAGAACCGCTGGGCCAATTTTCACAATTCCCATCACTTCGGAATGGTCTTTTGCCAGAAAAGTAGAAAATCTAAGAAAATCGCGGAAAAATATACCAATAAAAAAGTGAATATTTTTGTTCCATTTTTTTTCTTTTTTCAATTCTTGTCATATTTTATCATTGCATGCGATTTTTTCAATTTGACTTACAAATTTTAATTGTAAATTTTCTAAATGTTTACACCCTTCAACACTACGTTTTGAGGGTATTATATGCGTGTCGCAATTATCGTCCGATCCTCACGAAATTTGGCATTGGGGTTAAGTTTTTAAGGTTTTTCTAATTCTGTAGTCGCTCTGTAGGCCACAATTGAAACTAATCAACACGGAATTTCGCATCGGAAGAGAGTTAAGGACAGGGAAGAAGTCTAGCATTTTGGATGACCATTGGATTACATTTAGCTGTAAAATGGACCACAACTTTTGCCAAATCCTCCGGCCCAAAAAGCTAAGAGTATCCTCTGGGCGGGGCTCCTTGACATTATTTCAAAAACGAAATCTTCCAAAATGGGTTTGGATATAAGGGGACTTCGAACATATTGGTCGGCCCTGCACGTCTATAGCCTTTGCTTACTTGTTTTTAAATTTTTTTTTTAATTTTATTGAATGAAAACAAAAAATTTAGGAAATAGCATCAAATTTTAGAATAAGTTTAGATTTGTTCGAATTGGTCACCTTTGGCACGAATTATCATTTTGGAATTTTTAGTGCCAACTTTGCTTTCCAAAATATTCCAGACACAATAGTCCAACGAATTGGTATCCGGAGATAATGGTGGCCATTGTGCGCTGGCCATGAAGCGAGGAACCTCATATTGTAACCATTCTTGGGTGGCGTGTGCTGTGTGCGATGGTGCTGAGGCCTGTTGGAATGTCGAAATGTCGAAACTGCTGGACAACGAATGTTTTCTCATTAAGGGTAAACTTAATAAAAAACATTTAAAAAATTACCGATAGATAATCAAGAGGTCATTTTTTATTTAATTTTTATCTTGAAGAAACTATCTTAAAAAACTCATGAAAGTCTTCGAAAAAATGTCAAAAAATATACGATTTTTTGTCAGTAGCGCATTGAATTTTTTCATTTAACAATATGGGACAGTTGCCGTTGTTATAAAAAAATTGCTTTTAAAATCCAAAATTTTTAATTTAAGACATCTTTAAAAAATCTCTTTTGGTCAAAGAAAAAAAAAAAAAAAAAAAAAGAGAAAAAACATCCTTAATAATCCACAGTTTTTCATTAAAAGGCCATACGAAGTCTTTATCCATACATATTATAGGATAGGTTTAGGATATACTTGAATAGTTTTTTTTTTTTTTAATTTACGATTTTAAGTTAAAAACCCACAATTTCTGGTCAGAAGATCCTTGAAGTGAGCATCAGATCAATATAACACAAAATCTGCGTTGAAGATAGAATTTATCAGCCCTCTTCTTCTTATTCAACGGAACAAATTTTTGAATAATTATAACTCTCTCGCAAAGTAAGCATTCGATTTCTTTCAAATTTCACACACAACAATATTTATACCCTCAGCCATATGTCTAAAGAGGGTTTATATCATTTCATACGGTCAAAACGTGCCTTGTCGAAATAACGGTTTTAGACCCTAGGTCTCTTTAGACTAAATCCGTTTCAGGATATTTGAAGTCGGTCTAGCGATGTCCGTCCGTCTGTCTGTCTGGCTGGCTGCTGCTGGCACGATAACCCTTGAAGGGAGTATCCGATTTGGTCCAAACTTGATACATCGTAATATTTTTGTCAAACTTAGATCAAGTTCGGAAGTGGGCAATATCGGTCTCCTCCTTTTGGTACCTCCCACGAAATTTAAAAAAAATATATTTTCTGCACAGGAAGTGAAAGGATAATTCGATTTTGCTCGAACTTTGCAATACTTGCATCAGTGCTAAGTCAAGTGCGAGGTCAGGTGGTAGAGATCGGACTATTCCTTCTGGTACCTCCCATACAAAGGGTCAAAGTTTTGAATACTCTCTTCACATTATACACATCACAATATTTTTATTAACCGAAGGTCTGATGGGAAAATTGGATATATCGGTTCACTCCTTGTGGTACCTCCCCCACAATTTATTATAACCCTTTATAAAATGTTATGTAAGCGTCCGATTCTCTTCAAATAACATATATCATAATATTTTTATTTACCCAAGGTCAGTCCACTTCTTTTGGTACCTCCCCCTACAATGGGTCATAATTTTTAATATCCAGGAAGCTTATAAATACTCAACTCAATACTTCCACAAACACAAGATCTGTTAAAACGATGGTAGAGATCGGACCATTTCTTCTGGTAGCTTCTCCACATACTTTTCAAGATTTTGAAAAGCAAAATGCTCATAGAAAGTGATATAAGCATCCAACTCTCTTCAAATTTCACACATACAAATATTTTTGCTTACGCAGGATCCGTTATGAAAATGATATATATCTGCGAAACCCTTTTGATACCTAACCCAAATTTCAATACTTGTGTCCGTCATAACTTGCGAAACAAGTCGACGTTTTTTTACAACTGGCCTTTTCTGAATATTTCTCTTAACAATAAATCTGATTCTCTTCCAGTCCTGGAATATATTATTTTTGTGTAGAAGTTTGTGGAAACCTTTCCACACATCCGCGGTTTTTTTTGGTAAAAGTATTAAAAAATCTTTTTTTAATCTTTTTTTTTCTGAAAAAAAAAAAAAATCAATGTTTTCTTTAGCCTCGAAGAGCCGAAGCTTCTCATGTTTTGTCAGCAATATCTTTAAAAAGTCCTTATAAATCACATTTTTATTAACAAGAGTCCTTTAATAATTTCATTCAAAAAAAAAAAAAAAAAAAATATATATATATATATATATATATATATATATATATATATATATATATATATATATATATATATATATATATATATATATATATACAAATCCTCAACCTAACCTAAATCCTAGATCTCATCCTCCATTCTCTAAAGCAAGAAACCCTTCGCTAATCGTTCCATGCCACATTTAAAAAATAAAGTCCCTTCGCCAGAAAAAAATCCTTTTCACTCTTTGTAATCAACATAACTGTAAATAGAGTAAAACAACTCGCTCCGAAAAAACATGAGAAAAATACAAATCCTCACAAAAGAAGCAAACCGACCAACAAATGATGTGCTTAACGTTGAATCCAACTTTGGTGGCGGTGCCCTGGCTGACGGGAATGGGAATGCGTTAAGAATTCCATTTTCCACAGCCAATGGCTTAACTAAAGCGACCGCAATTCATGGCTGCATGGGGCGAATGGGGAAATTGTTTGGTTAAAGCAAACAAGAAAAAGTGGGAGGAAGAAGAGAAAACAAAAAAGGATTCAAGCAATATGTTCAAGCCGGAGAGTAGTTTATGGGATTTGCCGGCAAAAAGTAGAAAACAGAAAACAACTTATAAGGCTTAAGTAGATGTTTTTCTTTGCTTTTGGTGCATCGTGTTGAACATGAGATAATGCTTAAATAATTTGGATAATTATGCCAAAAAAAAAAAAACAAGAAAATTGTGTTTATTCAGTTCATAATAATTAAAAAAGGGGCTCAGCTGTTTGTGGGCAAACAAATTACTTTTTCGGAGATGATGGTCGAAATATTTTGAGATAAAGTAGTAATTATAGAGGTGGAGAGTAACAGGGAACCACAATACTCTATATGTATCTTTATAAAGAACCCAATAATCCTTTAAAAATATTTTAAAGATGTATTAAAAAAAAAAGAGTCTTTATGAAGAAGTCTCCTATTTTTATACCCTACAACATTATGTGTTGTGGGTATTATAAGTTTGATTGATCCAAAAATTATGTAACACCTCGAAATATTGATTTCCCACATAGGAAAGTATATATGGATCTTCCTATCTCGCCGAGCTGAGTCGATCTAGCTATGTATATCCGTCCGTCCATCCGTCCGTCTGACCATGTTAATTTGTAATAACTCTACCGGTCGCAATTTTGGCCCGATCTTCACGAAATTTAGAATGTAGGTGGGACTAGAGCCAGAATAGAAACCTTTTGCTTTTGGAGACGATCACATAATATTTAGGGATTGAAATTATCGTCCGATCCTCACGAAAATTTGTCACAAGGGTAGGGTTAGGCTCAGAAGGACAAGGCCTAT